CTCGGTAGCCTTCTTTTTCTTCTCTTGTGTGATGTGTCTGTGCCTCCAGTCCCACTACTAACACTCATGACTTCCATTGTAACGGGATTACACGTACCCTTGTATGAAAAAGTGGGTCACACAATCTTGTGTGACCATACAAGGTGTGGATTACACAACTCGGTGTAATTACAAAATGGTGTGGCTACACCATAACAAGAAGCCACTACGTGGCGGGACTGTCAGTAGTTATGCATATAAATCAGGTTTTACTATATTAAATAGGTATTGCTATACTAATTAGAAAACGTGAGGTTTTAGATATTGACGGCTCTAATCTGCGTGGGAAAATGGAAGGAGAATTGCATTTCATAGCACTAATACATTCACTTTATCCGGGTATGATTATTTTCCACCCATAACCTGTGGATGTTCACTACCCAGCACGGTGGGCGCCTGACGAGCGCGGCTTTTTTTAGTGAATTTCTGTCTTTCGAAGACACACTTGGAAAATTTGCGTTGCTCACCTCGAGACCGCAGACCACTACCACTATGTGTTTTGAGCTCTTCCAGTACACTTAACAATATTGTAGCTAAAAATTGGACAACTTTATGTCCTGCACCGAGGTCATCGCAATTTCTTGTCTGCGTCAAAGAGGTGACATACCGAAGCATTTCTAAGAGGTGCCTATTTTTTTACATCCAGTCGATCTATGTATATCGCGCTCCGGCAATGCTGCACGTAGAACAAAATCATCTATCACTTCCACGTAAAGAGCCAAACAATTTTTTTTGCTCTTGAAGGCGTCAAATATTAACAGAAGGCTTTATAACATCTTCAACTCTTTAACAAGTCGCCTCGTCGCAAGACTCACGGATATCATTTACGTATTTGGCATCTTATATGCCTCAGCATACTGTCTACTCTGTCAACATTCGCACGTTCTCTGGTATTGCACGACGTTCTTGAATATATCGATACTATTCAATGATTTTCAAAGGCTGGGTATTCGATGCCAACATCAAAGAACCCAGAGCGAAAAATCAACTTTATTATGAGATAGCTTGTTTTGGCTGGGTCTCATTAATCCCGACCCCCACGAGGTACATTATATTTTAATTCTTTTCAAATGTGCCAGTACATGCCTGCTCTAACTCGACTTTTTCTCGTCAGATATCCATCTTACGTAGATCTTGACCATTGGAATATCTAAAGAAAGGACCATAGTACGGAGAGCACAGGTATTTTGTGTTGGTACGGGTGTTACATCTGAGAATACCACGGTATTTCTCGGCGACAAATAAATTGCTTCCTTCATACTCAGCTTGACTGAAGTACATCGTATCTGACGCGCTTAATGACCATCGGCCATGCGCGTTCAGATCTGCCCTCACGACTAGAGTTTGTGCTCTGCAATCAATGCAACACCAATAATATTCTCAAAAATGAAGAATATACATTGAAGGAGACGCACCTATACCACGCCCCCGCGAGCCCTGTGGTCTTTCACACAGGTGAATCTACGAATACAGCAGCTCAAGGCTATAGCATGAGCTCAGCACACGGCCCTCCGGCTTCCTGCGCTACTGTCGAGAAACGCGGTGCGCAAGACGACGTGAAGATTCATGATCCTTCTGATCATAAGCGTCTACGACAACTGGGCAGACTTGCTGGAATGGTACCCCGAACGCCCACGAATTGTCGGAGTTTGGATATCCTCGCAACTTCACAAGATTTTGGGTTAAACGCTATCGACAAAGTCGACCCACAAGACATCCCACGTGGTAGTGGATGCCACCATTCTTATCGAGAAGAGTCGGAGGCAGACGATGACGACTCGGTCGATCGCCGTCCGGAGACTTGATTTGCAATTGCAAAACATCCCAAGGGCTCCCAGAGGTGTTACTAAAAAAACCTAGGGATTCTGATTTATAAATCAAGGGTGTTCTAAGGTAAATTTCAGAAGCAACTAATACAAGATCTTGGGTGTACGGAGCTTGAAAGTCGAAAGCTTGAACTTAATTTTTAGTTAAAAATATTTGTAGAAGGGACCGGCTTACGCCACCCACTTCCAAAGACAGAGACACGTCCGTCTCATCACCAGTACAGATACCCACGTAGGAACCACGTTCTGCATCACACAAATTGTTCATGACTTCATAAAAGAAATTACGTTTGCATTTGGAAACACCTTACTGTAACCTTCTTTCATTAATTCCTACAATTAATACAGAAGTCACATAAATGTACGTTCGTGTAATGGCCAAGTGTTGCCCATTACAGAGAGTCATTCCAAACTTGGACGATTTTAGAACGACAAATGTCAAAAACGTTCGCACCGTCTAAATAGGCGTACGGGTGCGCTTGAATACTTATCTACCCCTCAAGCACGGCAAAAAGAGGTGGACAGTGTCTAGGAGTCTCGTATTGCAAAAGTGCCATGGCATCTGACCATCCTATGTAGGGGATAACAGTTGCTATTTTATTGACGGATTCGAAAGGGGGCGTCTTGAACCGAGACATCTCGCGTCCATCCTACCTCTTCCAAGAGAGCTGTGGATGTTGTACTCAATGCGGAGCACGACTTCGGCGCCGAGGGCAAAATGAGGTATTGAATGTGTCAGCTCCACGATCGTGCTAGAAGCGATAGACCTAAACTATTGAAAATATCGTTGCAGCTGATTTACGCAGTAACTACAGTTAAGTAAGCTGCATCAATTCAAAACATGTGCGTCATGCGTGCCCCCTCTGCTCTCAGTTGAGAGGTACCCAGATCTCGGATTCCTTGCTACGGCAGACGACGGCCCTTTGCAGGTTTTTTTTTAGTCCCAGTAAGTCCAAGACACCCAATTGCGAAAGAACTGGGATCCATTGTAACTCATGGGTGGTCATGGTCAATGGAGACCTGCTATCAAAGAAACGACTTGCTTAGAGATGTGGAGCTCGCATTCCAAGAATTTTGTGTCATTGATGTCAACGTTTATGTTTTTCTTTAGTGGAAAGTCATATGGCTTCAGAAGCGTTGTGCAACCACATACGTAACACGATTGTTGGAAATTGGATGTAGAGCGCAACGATGTTGATCTTGCAGAACAAGGATGTGATATGCGTTCGTCTTGCGACGAGAACACTATAATTAGGGCTGAAAGCTTATCTTAGATACTTATGTAAAGGTTGAGGACTTTGAGAGCAGGAAACGTTGTCGGGTTTCGGACATAAATAAACGATATGAGCACACAATATGCATGGTGGAGCTGAAGCAGCACAATTAAAATAAAGCAAACTTAGATGTCCCGTACTGATCTCTTGGTGGAGTATTGTCGAGTCATAAACCCACCTTTTGCAGGACGCAAAAGCGCTTTGACGCGGGAGCGGAATGCGATAGCTTTTGTGCAGGACATGGGATTGTTCCAAAGTTAAAGCATTCGTAATGCTAGATGTCTCGAGCAAAGTTTGGAAGTCTAAAGTGGTGTTGATTTTTAATTTTACGATGAAACAAGCAACTATATGTCGTGTTCTCAAATTGTATCCCTCGTTATTTGTAAGTTGGTGTCTTTGGTGCCAGGAGCGAAGGTGAAAGGAAGCGACTCAGTAGGTGGCGATAAAAAATATTCACTCGTGAATGAAGCGATTGAAGAAATTCTAGACGTTGAAAAATTCCGCCTCTTTACTGTTGGCGGTAGCTCTGACAAATCTAGAAGAACCTACACACAAGGATTAAACTTTTTCTAGCGCGGGTTGCTGGTAGCTATCCGACCCTTGTAGATACCTGTTTGGTTGCGGGCTGACAGAGCAGATACATTTCTTAAGCGTGGTTGCTCGTCCATTTGAGTGAACTGCCTCCGGCCGTTTTAGTTCGGATCCGATGGCTATCGAATCAGGGATCTCCCGATCCCAGGTCAATCGATTAACCCTTGAGCCCGGGGTCGATACATAGCATCATTATACGGTACGTACCTTCGGAACTCAAGATGTGGAGCACACTGGGGCTCCTACTTGTTATGCCTGGTTAGACATCTTGGAGCAGTAATCGCTCGACGTGCACCCACTGTGCTTACAATTCGCTTGTACGTTAAGGTGTATGCTCCTTTCATCATCATTTACATCTGAGTCTTTCCTAGCGTCACCCAGGGCGCATCAAGGCTTAGAAAAGACGTGGCCTCTGTGGCCGAAGACTTCCAATCTACCCTCTTGCGGGAGAGCAAACGTGGTGTCCGGCAGGAACGGTCATTGCGATTATTCCCAATACCGTTTCCTCGTATTGAGACAAAACCCTAAGCCAATCACTACTTTGTAAGAGCTGTGCACTTCGTACCCGTCTTAACGGAGAAATGCATACACACCGCGGAAATTTTGACGACGTTTAGTTCTTTGCCAATGAGTTGGACCTGGAGCAGGGGGGCTTGCTTGTTCATCCGCGAGCGACAACATATGTAGAATTTATCACGCTCTGATTATACATATAAGTGATCAAACACTGTTTGCTACGCTGCGACAGAGCTATTATACATCTATACCTGTGATCCATTTTATCAAACGGATGCATGAGAGACACCTAGCCATTGCTGACGCACTAGGCAGTCGCGTAGAGCACTCGAACGTTGCCGCGCAAGCCCTTTCGAGCTATACCTCAGCAGTACTGCCTGTGCCTAGAGCAGTAATCTGAAAATTTATACAACTCATCATGATTTTAGCGCTGTTTTAAGTGCCGGCAAAATTGCAAAAGGGTGTCGCATCCATTTTGCGCAACGAGAGGTTTGGCAGTCGCCTCATCCGTCTGAAAATCTTATACGCAGCTTCAGTATAGCGCTCAGACTAGGACTTTATTTATGTTTGGAATTCAAAGCCTCATGGTTGAAGCTCATTCATAAAGCTCTTGCTGTCAGGCGCCATGATTTTGCAGGTAGGCCTATTGATGAAGACTTGAGTTTTAGAGATAGCCGAGCCCTACTTGCTGGTGGGAAATGTGTTGACTAGCGCTGGTCGATGCAGCATTTTCAACTAAGCGTTAAGATAGAAGATGCGCAACGTTGTTCTTGGTAAAGACACTAAAAGTTATGGAATCTCTACGACGTCAACAAAATACTGATAACAGCTGTGGTGATTCGACTGGCCTACCATCTGTTTGACATTGATGTGATCCACCTTATTAATCAACAAGCAGTACTGGTAGTAGACGATTTTCGAATGTATGGCTCTAGTGAACTTTCCATCGGCTGTTGCGGCACATCAACTCAAATCAAAACTGTTGACGTGCGGCCACTCATGGGAGTAGCCAGTATTCAGCTGCACTCTCAGCTCTAGCAATCGTACCGATTCGGCTTATATCAATTCGAGCGTTACAGAACCGTATTGCTGCGAAAGAACAGATATTTTTCAGCTCTTAGGATTTAATCCGCCGTTTCTTAGTCTACATTAGAGCGATTCCATGCGAATGGATAGTTTCAGGAAAGATCTTGGTGTATTCGTGCCCATAGAGCCAAGGATGTAATTCGAAAGGTAGCTCAATCTTTTTCTGGATATAATCTTACACTGTTTATGTAGAGAATTCTGAGCTCAGTTCTACAAGCTTCAATTACTTCGTGTTTGTATAGAGTAGTAGCGTTCAATAAAACCGTAGCACCATCGACATACTATTGTGTGCTCTTTTGCTTGGGTCTCTGCGTGTAAATTTTGGACATCCTGACTGTTACTGATAGCGTCTAGCAGGGTGCATGACGACAATACTCTTATACCAAAATAGTCGAAAGCATTTTGATGTAACATCAGAAAGTTGATTCTAAGCGAACAACCGTCTTTAGTCAACCATTGAACAGATTGATGCAAAGTCTGGTGAGACATGAATGGTGTATTTCAACGCAACTCAATGATTGGGGCAATTTGCGCCTTTGGGGGATATTATGCATAACGCGATTCACGCGACCAATATAACCAGTTCATGGTCATCGCTTGACAATTTAATTTAGTGTTGACAACCTTGAACACAATCTCCGTGAGTTTCGCTGTAAAGCGCAGATCTCATTCGAGACTATACCCACCGCCAAGTCATGTTAGTCATTTTTTTGTCGAGGAATATCTCAACTGACTTTTCAACGATAGCGGAAATATTAACAGCAGCGATACAAGCTGCAGCAAGGCTGCTGAAGATCTTTGCTTAGTGGAAGCCAATCTAACTTCACCGGCCTCACGTTCTATACAAACCCAGTTCGAGTGCAGCGGATCGCAATCCGCTACCTCCATAGGTCCGTAAAACCTTAACCAAGTAAAGGCGCTCTTCCGTTCAGAATTGATACCGTATTTGACTGTTTTAAATGCGGCAGAGGCCGCTCTGCCGCATATAAAACATTATTTTTTCATTATAAAATTATAAAACCTCATTAATATGCATACCTACAGGCAGTCCTGCCACGTGGTGGCTTTTTGTTACGGTTTAGCTATTACACTGCGTAATTACACTAAATTGTGTAAGACGCATCATTGTAAGGTCACACCATCTTGTGTAACCCGCACTTCCATACAAGAATGCGCGTAACGCCGTTACACTCTCCCCATCAAAATTGTGAATACCCATGACTTACATTTAACTGTCGCCTCAGGGCGCCCGCGGGCAAAGCCCTTCTTCTTCCGCACGGAGTGCATCTTCGAACAGTACGTCCGCAGCTTCCCGGGAAGCACATCCCAATCCCTCGGGAACCGAGCGCCACACACTTGTTGAGGATTTGAAGGGAGCCTACTTTGAGTCAGACACTCGTTTCCCAGCATGGGAAGACAAAGAAGCCGGGGTACACCAACGGCGCGACGTGAGCCCTGCTCAAACCTTGCGGAAACACGAGGCTCATGAGCAGCAATTGAAGGCTGCCGACAAAGCGACTCTCATGCGCCCGTATCCTCGTTCAGTCCTATACCCTCGTGTAGAATCCGGCTTCCACTCGGCGGATCCCGCTACTCAAGCGAAAGACGCGATCACTCGATGTTGGGCGACTGAGTAGTCGGGCCCTCGGTCACTACACAAGCTGAGCTTGACCAGCGGAAAGCTGTCCGAGCTCGTTTCTGGGTACCGCACGAACTCCAATGGATAGGTACCGCGCTCGACTTCGAGCTCAAAGAGAAGACGCTCCAATACACGCAGTTCGAACTATTCCTGTGGTGCTCGCCCCTGGCAAAACCGCTGCAGATGATGAGAAGCACTTTGAGCATTGGATGCAGTGGCACCGGAAATTATCATCGCAATCTCACTTGGAGCAGGATCAGAAGGAAGTGGACGTGCGCGTAGAACGCCATCCTCGTGCGACGGTGGGGCACCTTGCGCCGCTGGGAACGGAAATTATTGCGCTCCGTGCTCAGAACCAATTGCTGGTTCAGCTTCTAGGTGGCGGAGCGCCTGTGGGCGCCGCTCCAGCGCCAACGCTTCCGCGTACACTTGTACCGGATCCCGGTACGGCTTACACAAGCCAGCATAAAATATCGGGTGTGTGCGCATCCTTCTCGGAAGGTTCAGTATAGGCGTAAGGTCCCGCTTGCCCACGACCTTAAAAGGTCTGGCAAACCGTGGACGGATCTTTGTCTTAATGACAGCAGAGACTGCATGTTTGGGATGGTTTTCGCACTTAATTAAACCAGGTCTCCGACCTCAAAGTTTTCAATATTTAATCTGCTTCTTTAAACAGCATATTCTTTTTGCATATCTTGGCTTAGGCTGTCAGCCATTGCATCGCGAACGTATCGTAGGACACCCGATCTGGTAGACAAGAAGTCGTCGACTTCGTTACGGACAGTGAAGGGGTTGACATCAGCTAGCCGTTCGGCTATTCCTCCCCCACCAAGCCCTACGCCGTGGGATGGCGGCGTCAGTGGGACGCAAAAAATAATAAGCCCGTTCACGTAGAACGCCATTTAGCTGATAGATGAATGCATTGCATTGTTCAGAGCGAACTCTACGAGTGGCGACATAGCGCTCCAGTGCTTCGGTGTCTCAGCGCAGACGCTGCAAAGAACGTCTTCGACGACGCGATTCACGCACTCAGTTTTACCATCGGACTGCGGATGGTCCGATGTTGACATAGTCAACTTGGTGCCCAGCACCCTGAAGATAGTCGACCAAAACTTCCCAGTGAAGTGCGGGTCTCTATCAGAGACTATTGACTCCGGGAGTCCATGCTGTCAAAAGACAGAATCGACAAACAGCGTCGCTGTACAAACACCGTCGATTGTGTCCGGAACTACCGCAAAAGGATCCATCTTGCTCAAACGATATACGAAGACCTCCACACCCGTGTTGTCCACCGAGTCCTTCGGCAGGGCAAAGGCAAAGTCCATACTCAAGGATTGCCAACACCCGAACGGTACCGGTAAACTGGCCAGCGGCACCGCCGCAATCGGAGAGGTTTTCACCTTCTGACACCTCTCACACGTGCGCACATATGTGCTCGTCCATATGTGCAGCTTGGGCCACCAGTAGTGGCTACTCACAGAGCTGTACGTTTTCTCACGACCGAGATGACCACTGATTGGGTTGTCGTGGGACTCATAGAGGATACGGAATCTCAAATCCTCATCGTGAGGAACCACGATTCGTGGTGTATCCGTCATATTGGTGCTATAATACAGCAAATTGTTACTCATCAATTATCGGTGTAACCGTGCGTACAATCACACCCGCATTTTTGTGTCCTTGTCTCCAAACTCCTTGTCCCCGAGAACCTGTGGTAGCGCTACATATATACTATCACCCGCGTATGCTGCGCTTATCAAATCCGTTACTATCGACGTCACCGTCCTGACATGAGCGAGCTCACTATCCGGTCTGTGTGACAATTTATCAGCCAAAACATTTTAATTTCCTGGCTTATACTTCGCTTCGAAGTTATTTTGTGCAAAGCAGGAGAGCCACCTGGCCATCCTCTGCGAGGGGCGGGGCGACTGAGTTGCAGTCCGTAGTGACGCATGGTCTGTGTAGGTCAAAAACGGCATGAAGCCGAGCGGACGCACCCTGAACTTGTCAAGTGCATACTTCATGGCAAGTAATTCCTTGTCGTGAACTGGGTAGTTCCTCTTCGCGGTCTAAAGCTGGGTTAGGGTTTAGAAACCCTAAACTCTAGAGTTTTGAGCGCGACGCCCGAATTCGACCCTCGGCGTCTTCTTGTAGCGGTGCACAGCCGATGGCATAGTCCAAAGCGTCACAGACGACACAAAATGGGATGATCGGGGTCTAGCTACGCCAGTATTGGTGCATGAAGGAGGCTATCATTGACCCCGTCAAAGGTTCCCGATGCTCGGTCATTACGCATCCTTCTTAAGGAGATTCAACAATGGCCGTGCCATTTCGGCATAATTTGCGCTATACTTGTGCAAGAAGTTGTCGAGGCCTAGCCATTTGTGCAAATCCTTTTAATTCTTTAGAGTCGTCCAGTCCACAATGGCCTTGACCTTAGTGGGATCCGCTCGAAGGCCACACTTGCCGATGAAACACCCTAAAAAAGGTTTTTTTTTCGGCGCCGACGATGCACTTGTCTGCATTAGCAAACAACTCTTTCGTGCGCATGCACTCGAGCAGCGCTGTTAGATAGACGATGTGGCCTTCATCTGTCATCCCTTGCTCTGCACGACTGTGGACAAAGAAGTCGTCAAAGTATATCTGTACATTCGCTTGGTGAGGCTTGAACAACTGCGTCATACGACTGTTATATGTCGCTGGTTCATTTGTCAGCCCTTGGGGTATCACCAGCCACTCCCAAAGTATCCCGCTTGGAGTACTTACCGCTGTCAGCGGAATGTCGCTCGCTCTCAAGAGCAATTGGTTATAACCATCTAGCAAGTCGAGTGCACTGTATTTCGAACATGCCATCATGTTGTTCTGAAGAACATCCTTTCTAGAAGTCGGCGTCTGTGCCGGAATGGTGGTAGCGTTGAGCTTATTGTAAGCATGAACC